AACTGGATAAACAGGTAAGTTCAGTAAGATCATCCATACCCTAGATATGTTTTATTGCCAGTTTAACTAATGTTTGTAGGTGTCCATGCAAAATCAAAATAAATTTACAAATTACACATATTATTATCTTCTTAGTGAATCTTAGTGATAAACAGTTTATACTGCAATGATTTGAAAATAAAAAAAGGTGCTCTGATGTACAGTAGGTTACAAGTGGGTCACTGTATAGTGGATGGTATTAAATTTGAATTCAATGATATAATATCATTGTATAAGAAAAACGATTCTGAGCAAAAGCGGTTAGTCAGCCTATGATATTACGAAGTATATTTGATGATACTAAGGTGAATAAAGTAATTTATATATTATATCCTATTTACGTAGAATCTTGTTTTAAATTTTCAATCATTAGCTATAAAAAATGAACATTTTATAAATTGTTAACTACAAAATTATTATTAAATTTTAAATGTGATAAATTTTGTCAAAATTTGAAAATTAAATGCTTATAAAAAAAAAAAATTGTGCCTATGTATTTTTAAAATTTTTCATGTGATATTGTAACAATATATCAGGAGCCATTTATTAAATTTTCACGCTTTTTGGCTCAACAAATAAAATTTAATGGGTATTTATAGAAAAAAAAAACTAAAAAAATTAATATTTTGAATGGTCCGTATAAATCTCAAAAAGAGTCAAATTATTTTTAAAAATTGTATGGTGTATACAAAATGAAAATATAAACATTCAATAAAATTGTCATGTATTTACAATTTTTCGTTTTTGAATAACAGTAAAATAACAAAACCGCTACATGAAAAATAGAGTGAATATTCAATATTGTAAAAATTATGAACTTTTTTTAGGATCATAAAAATTTAATTTGATTTGCTTGTAAACATTTTTTTTTTTTTTTTTGATAAAAGATAGATTTTTTTGATAATCTTGTATTACATTTTCAAATCTTAGATTTAAAAAGAAAATTTTTTACGAATTCTCAACTCAAAATAATTTGCTAATTTTTGTGATTTTCATGTATTTTGTCAAGATTTGAACTTTAATACTTATAAAAAAATTGTGACTAAGGATTTTTAATATTTTTCAACTGCTATTGTAACAATATAGTAGGAGCCTTGTATTAAATTTCCAAGCTTTTTTACAAAACAAATAAAGTTTTATTAACATTCATAGAAAAAAAAACGGTCAGTCAGCCCATTTCAAAGTATATTTATTATTTGATGATATTATTGTGAATAAAGTAATTTATATATTTACCTATTTACGTGGACCCTTGTTTTAAATTTTCAATAATTAGCTATAAAAGTTGAGCATTTTATAAATTTTTAACTACAAAATTGTTATTAAATTTTAAATGTGATACATTTTGTCAAAATTTGAACTTTAGATGCTTATAATACAAAATTGTGCCTATGTATTTTTAATATTTTTCAACTGCTATTGTATCAATATATCAGGAGCTTTGCATTAAATTTTCACGCTTTTTTAACAAACAAATAAAATTTGATTGATATTTATAGAAAAAAATCTAAACAAATTGAAAACTGAAAATGTCCGTAAACAACTTAAAAATTGTCGAATTATTTTCAAAATTACATGATGGATAGGAAATACTAATATAAACATTCAGTGAAATTTTCAAGTATCTACAGACATTCCTTTTTGAATTACAACAAACTAAGAAAATCGTTACATGAGAAATCGAGCGAATATCAAATGTTGTAAAAATATGAATTTCAAACGATCATAATAATTTAATTTTAGTTTCTTGTAGACATCAACCAAAATCGATTTTTTTGAAAACAGATTTTTCGTAAAAATTCCCGTTTTTCCTTAATTTTTCTTTTGTTTTTCACGCCGCTTTTGAAAACTAATGGAAAAATTTTGCTTTTGACTTCCCAAAGTACAAACTAGATTCACTTTCCTATCAGAAAAGATACTGTTGAAGAAAATCCAAGCACTTTTACTGTCCTAAAAGGTGATGACAGACACAAAAAAAAACACACATCATTGTAAAATCAATACATTCATCGTTATACTCAGATTCTAAAAATATATAATATAATGTTATGTTGTTTATAGTTTGACAGCACACAATAATAATATAATATATTATGTACATTATACTTATACATCGTACCTACACTGAACACACTAAGTACACAAAGGATATATTATTATTATATTTCATGAAATGTTTTAATGAAAGAAGTTAGTACTAGCCATTAGTTGTTGCACCCATTAGTTATTGCAATATTTATTAATATTTTTTTTAAAATTATTAGAGCTCTATAAAATCTATAGTTAACATTATTTTTATATTTCAAATGAATCCCATACTACACTATTCGCTTTTAAATATATTTAGCGATCTATTGTTTTTCTGGAAAATATCCAAAGAAACAAAATAATATTGACCTTTAAGAAAAGTAATTTTAGTATGACCTTTGACATCGGTAATATTTCACTGCACAGATCCTTTTTAAAAATAGTTTATTTAAATAGCTTATCATTAAGTAGGTATATATAGTTTTTTTTTGTTGTTTAGAAAATACAAACAATATATTGTTACGGTTGCTTCCCTTAGATTTTAAGGTCTTACTATTTTAGTTTAAAAATATATAATTACCATATTCTGTTAATCTACCGTATCGTATCATTTTAAAGTGATGCTTTTAGGATTAGTTATTTTTTTCTATTCCCAGTCTATATCCAGATAATCTTTATTGTGAACAATTCAGTGACAGAAAATAAAGTAGGAAGGTACCTAATTACCTAAATACTGTTTGAAAGTATTAGTTTAATAATCCATCGTAGAATCATGTCAAAGTTTTTTGAACATTTAAATTTACCAATATATTTATAATATTGGTAAGAAGGTAGATAGCGTCATACTGAACCTTATAAACGGATGTTACTCGTGAGTTGCAGTTTTGAAATAGGCTCCCGCTACCAACAAATTAACATATTATGTAAAACAGGAATAATTCGAAAACGCATATGCAAGTCAAAATCTTTGAACTGTGTCTATTATATGTCACGTGCATGTAATGAAACCAGTGAGTTCTGATATAATAACATTATGACTGAGCCTTTAAGTTTAACGTAATAAATATTTTAAATTTTGTGTTAGAAGGCCAACACATAAACAGGTGAACAGCAGCTAAATAACTGGCATATTGTATACTTATTGCGAACTCATCGTATTATTCTATCGACAAAAATTATACTGATTATACTTATTATTATTATGGAGTATGTTAGTAAATCATCTATGAGTGTACTGCAAAAATATAGATATAATATATATCGTATCATCCAGACAACTGTATAACTGTGTTTGATTTTATCCTAATGTCATTCACATGAGCAAGATAATAATTTGGTTTTTTTTTCAAATTATAGCTGATGATATCTGTGAGACAATTTCATATTAGAGCTTGTACAAATATTTACCTGCATTGCCTGTGAGAAAGTTAGAACCAAAACATATCAAAATATCTACCATAATAATATTATGAAACGTTTAGAACTTTACTGTTGTTTTGACACGCGAAAAGTACTACAAAGCTGAGTAAAATGTGTATGATAAAACCATTTGGGAATTCTCGACGATCAAGATTAATAAAAACAAAAAATTTGTTTCTTCGGTCTGTTCTGACTTCTGAATATTATATAATATTATACATATACGTATGCATTCAGGTATTATGGGCAAAGTCCCTCAGGATAATTTTATATCAGGTTTATAAATTTTCGTTCGCAGGCAGTGTAACAATCGTAATTACACCCTATACAATATAAATACTGCACACTAAATACACACTATAGAATAGACCATCATAATATATTTATATATTCACACTCGACACTTTTCGGCTCCAACTAAACGATTACTTAAGCCATAAGGCAGGTGTTATTATTAAAATGATATATGACAGGTAATTCGACATTGGCCATCAACCCGAATGAGCGAACTCGAAGATATTATTCAGTTATTGACAGCCATTTTAATATAAACAAGTAAAGTAAAATATTATTAAAATTTAGGTATAACATAAATAATTTTGGAGTTGTAAATCAATCGTATCTTTTTATTGATAAAAAACACCTTACAATTATAGTTCTCAATCAAACCCTCGGCTCCAGAAAAACGTACTTAACTATCTCCATAATAAATAGAATTTTTTTTCTCTGAAAAACAAAAATCGTAATTATACATCCATACAACACCTGCGTAACAGCTGAAGTTAGCAGTTTCACGTCTACACAAATCTTATTAAATATTAATCAATTACAAATTGAAATCATGCGAATCCATCCTATGATGTCATATAATATTACATTACAGTTATTGCGGATCGGAGTGTCAGAAATAATAATTTAAAAATGCAAACAATTCGTGTAATGTTCAATATAATATGACATAATAACTTAAAAACGGCTGAGCTCGAGGCAGGTATACTGGTAATTTATCGAACTTGACCATCTCGAAGTATACCATGTACCGTATAGGTATAGAGTACTCCAAAATAATAATGCAATTATAGGATACATAAAATAACGTTCCATAGCAGGTACGTTTTTTTTATGTGTATCGGCATATCGCCAATGATGCAGTGACACTCGGCGATACGACGACAGTGATATGACTTTCACCTATTTTCGACTTCTTGCGCACCGTTCAAGGCGATAAAATAATAATAATAATGTGTGCTTACTGACTATACTACTGTTAACCTGTTTTCCCAGGAAATAATAATAATCGTCGCGTATCAATGTAGGCTTACGTCAAGGCTTTCCAGTGCTCACAGCCCTCACCGCAGCCGACGCAGGTCTACACCGAAACACCTACAGATATTATTCTCGTGTATTATTATAGTATGGTCCGTGTACGTCACCGCACGTATATTTTTTACTGAACCATCAGCGAAAACTCAAAAAACCGTTCGTTTTGCTTCTGTCGTATTCTTGCACACGCCATGCAGCATCACAACCTGCCCTCCGATCCTCTGAAGATCGTCTTCCAGCTGGCGGTATTTTTTCTGCTATTGGTGCCTGGAATTTTGTGGGCGATTTTGAAAAAATTCATACCGGTGAAGCCAAAATGCGTCAAAGGAGAAGTCGTGTTGGTGAGTTGTATCACCTATATAATAGCCATAGGTACCTATCAGCTAACTACAAATTCATCGCAGCCGATTTCGGCTATTGACTATTTCGTTTGTTGTCGTCCGTCGAGAAAACGTGAGTTGTATCGAGTATTATGCATAACACATTGAAAAAAAAATATAATATTATATAGGTATATACATAAACATAATATTATATATTATTACATATACAATATTGTATAGCGTATGTTTTTCTATTGTTCATTACCACGGTCATTAACCATGAATTTAATAATGCCATAATTATTATATGTTATTAAAATCAACGACGAAAATAATTTCAAGGTAACTTAGTGTTATCATCATTTTGCACGCATATTATATTATCATCTATCGTCATAAGCATTTGGCACACATAAACATATCCATAGGCTCAAGGTAACGTACGTCAACCGATCAGCTCGCTGATCAGACGGTAGTCGATCTTTTCCGTTGGATTTAAAAGCTCTTGTTTCCAAAATTACATGTAATGATGATTATTATTTATCTAGAAATCCACCTGTTGTGCTTGTCCGATAAAGTTAAATCGCCGCAAGTCTTAAATTTGTTTTGCACAATATTTACATATAGTATATATACACAATACAAATATTATTGGCATGTAAACTATATATTTTACATAAACTTCTCTGATTTCTTTTCGTGATCCTGTTGTAGGGAGAGACGAGCATTTTTTCTAGGTATTTTTTTCTAGTATTTTAAATAAACGATTTTAATTAACTCGGGTGAGTCTTTTAACAGTAAATACCAGGGCTTGCAAACGTTATATTTGACATAAACGATTGAAATTTTTAAACTTTTTTCAACAGCATTTTGTAACAATAATATTATAATAGTTTTATAAAAACGTTATACTAATATTATTCGTGATTATAATGGTGTAATAAAATATTATAAAACAAAAAATTGCTGTCTGGGGGTAATTATAACGGAAAGCGATAATCAAAAATAATTAAATACCGCAAAACAAAGCATAACGAATAACAAAATATATAATATATCATTAAACAAAAAAATTCGCGAACCGTTATTTATAGAATATCATTTAACGAAAATTAAAGCAAAACTCAATTCATAAAATATCATTAAAAGAAAAATAACTCAAAACAAAATTATTTGAAAATTTAAAATTCATTTATTTAAAAGTAAGGTATATTGGTTTCGTAGAAATATATTTTATTTCATGCTATTTATTTTTAAATATGTAAAAACTGTTTATTTATAGCTTACAAATACATTTTAGTGGAACCATTCAAAATAAAATAATTATTTATAATTAAAAATTAAACATAAAAAACAGATAGGTAGGTACCTAATAACTATGTTTATTTAAAGCAATGGCTAGAACCTTTATTATTTTATCGGGTTGGGTTAAGGTTTCGGTTCCCAAAAATCTGAAATTTTGGTTTCGGTTAGTATAGATTTTAACCCTTTTTATTTCACTTTTGATTTTTGTTTTATTTTTATCGATTAAGTAGGTACTGTATAAATAATCATCATATTAAGAACCTATATTTAATGACAGGTATTCGTAATTAAATGTACCTATTTCAGATTTTAGGTAATATATTATCATGACGATATAATATTAGCACTAAAACTATAAAAAAATATACTATTATATTCAATAATTTACTGACTGTTTATGGAAGTTTCCCTATACCACTATATCACATCAAAATAAAGGTTTGGGTTTCGGTTTCGATTGCTAAAGAAATGTGTTTAAATATTCCGGTCCAATTTCATCCAAGATTTTCACAAGGTTTGGGTCCAAAACCGGTCTATTTTGGTACGGTTCCAGTTCCTGACTTAAACTTTTTAAAGATTAAATAAATAATTTAGCTTATATATTAAAATAATAAGGTTACTCAAATCCTAATTTATTTCAAAATGTATTTGATATTCTAAGAATATAATTTGCTATGAAATATAAATTGTAATCAAAAAAGTATTTTAAATTTAAATTATTTCTAGCCACTAGCTATGTGGACATATTATGGTAGGTACATCATAATTGGTAGCATAATTATAAATATTAGTTTGGTAATTTTGGTCTAAAATAATTCATGTATTATGTATTTTTAAATGTTTTCTGACCTTCTAGCCTATTTTTTAATTAATCCATTTTAAACTGATTCATATTCATAATTAAGAATGGGTTTATAACCATGGTTAAATTTCCGAAAATTTAAGTTACTGCAAGGTTCTATACGATATAATACATTAATACGACGGTATTATAAGAACAAAAATACCGTGTTTAACATCCCCATTCTAAAAGTGTACAATGAAAAATGAAATATAAAAATATTTTATGTACAATTCAATACTTATTGAATATATATTATAAATTTACTTATTAGTGATAACTTATATATTTTATTAATTATAATAATTATAAATACATAATATAAGTAGTTTATGGATAAATGATCAATGATTTTATTGTATTATCAATATCCTCAAGATATATATAAATTATAATCAATCGCGGACCGTCACAACAACTTGCCGCTTCCTTTTTTTTTCTTCCATCCTACCAATGGATCTAATAATGCGATAATATTTCTGAAAACTGATTGGAATTCGTTAGAATTTCTATTGGAGATTGGTCAGTCCACATTTTAAGATTTCTGCTTTAAATTCTGAATAAATCCAGAATAATCAACGTAAATTCCGAAATTTAAAAAAAAATCAATCTAAATTTTTAGTGGTCGGGGGGGGGGGGGGGGGGTGAAATTGGGAAAGTGGACTGACCAATCTCAAGAAGACATAATAACGAATTCAAATCTGTTTCAAAAAGTATTATCGTAATACTATATCGATCAGTATGATGGAATGAAAATTGGATGTTTTGGTTAAAATAACCGTTTAATATATTATAAAAAATAGTATTTCATCAGGAAAGTTTTTTTAAAACTAGCCCCGCATCGTGCCATAAAAAACTTCGTTTCAATAAATAAAATAAATTATAAAAAAAAACTGAAATAAGCGTAATCGTAACCACGACCCATCGAAAAAATTTCGTGACCCTTGATTTGGGAAACGCTGGTATAGATTAGAGAGTAGAGAGTATACTCAATACTATGGAGTATAGACTTATTTTGTATTCACTCTGTACTTTGTCTACTCTGTAGTCTGTACTACTGCGGTCCTCTTGTTAGTGTTAAAGTATATTATACTTACTGTTGTTAAAACATCCGTTTTATTTATAATAGCTACATATTAAAACTGCAAATAACGCAATCATGGGTAGAACAATTTCTAACCCAGTACTGAAAATGCAAAGGTAGGCATTAATTTGTTAAAAAGTTAATTTTTTTTAACTTTTTAACTTAACTAGTTCATTATTTTTGTACTTAGCTTATTAACTTATTCAGTTAAAATGTCCAAAGTAATTATATAAAATACCTAGGTGTTAGGTATATAGAATACCATTTATACCAATATTAAATATTAATAAAACAATAAATTATAATTTTCTGGTAACGATGTTGAAAAAAATTAAGTAGTGAATTACTTACTGGATTGTTGGAAAATGTTGGGTAAAATAACGTTTTGTTCTAAATAACGATAAACGCAAAACTTGTCTAACGTTTTAATTCTGAATAACGGTAACCGCAAAAATTGTGTAACTTTTTAATTGTAAATAACGTAAAATGGAATTTTTGTTTTTGAAAAGTAAATACGTTTTTGAAAATATATTTTTTACACAATTTAAAGTAATTTTATATAAAACAACATTTTTGAAAAAGTAAAATAATATCTTTTACCGTTTTTGTTTCATGATTGTTATATTTTTACTCTTTTGAATGACAGCATACATTTTTAATTTCATATTCCGAAAAAGAACACTTTTGTAGGAATTAAATTATAATTTGTATTGTGGTAGTGCCAGAGAAGTACGCCGTTCATGATTTATCAAGTAACACAACGAAAAAGGTCAACAGGATGTTGAAAGCTAAATATTTTTTTTCATCAGTAAAAAATCTAGTTATTATACCCGTTAAAAAATACATGATATAGGTACACTACATGTTCAGTTTTATAATGGTCTAGTATAAAAAAAACACGTGTATACATCTGCATCATAGTTGTTTACTTGCTACAATCGCCCGTAATTAAAATCATACCTATAACATTTTCAAACTTTTAATTTTATTCGAAGGTAATATTAAAAATGTAATTCATAGCAAATAAATTGCTTCAATATAAATAGATCGATAGTTAAATTTTGTCAGAAGTTAATCGCACGCATAACGACTAAACAATAATATCTGCGCTTATCGGCAAAATATTATATTAAATTAGTAAGGGGAAACGTCTCAATGTGAAGTGGTTGTTCTTGAATAGTTAGCGATAATCTTCCGATACAGTATTATAATATTGTTTAGCTTAATACTATAATAGTTATAATTAGAGGGCCGATTTTTATGTAATTGCATTATTATTTTCCTTTTCACGTTTTTGGGATTTTCGTTAGGAATATTTAATAATCGTAATTTAAAATTTTACTTGCACATTACTGCATATTTAATGGTTATTACATAATTGTTAATATTTTGACAAAATGAATCCGTATTGCATATTGAAGTGAAAATTTAAAAACTTATTTAACTTAATTTAAAATTTTATTTTTCCAAGTAGAAAATGTAATAATATTAAATTATAAATTGTAAAATTAAAAATATCTTTTTTCTTTATTAATAGTAGTTGCCTATATTATAATATTATAATAACTACAAGTTGTTTGATTTGTTTTAAATTATTTTAAGTCATATGAATATTTTATTATGTAAACTAGTAAAGATAATTAACGAATACATTTTTTACCATCATATGGCAAAATTATATAGCACAATTAGATTTTTCTTTCATATTTTCACGATTTTGACGGCATATTATATCATGGCATATTTTGACCAGTAGCGGATCTGAAGCTCATTTAAGGAGGGGGCGAATTATTGTCATAGATTTTTAATACATACATATGAGTCAATAAACAATCTGTTATACATTAAAAAAAAAAAAATAAACAGTGTAAAAATTCAAAAGTCTTTTATTCAATATTAAATAAACAAATATATTAATAATTTATTTGATCTACAATTGTACGATTCTTTTTTTACCAGCCGCAAATCTGTCAATGAATACAATGAAAATAAAATATTCAGCACTCAATATTAAAATTGAGTTATTTACCACAGTCACAGTGAACAAAATATTTAATTTATTTTATAAAAATTAAGTGATAACAGATTTGATGGTAGGAAAAAAGTATCCGGAAAAAAGTCTTGGTGGAAAAAAAGTCTGTTTTCTAAAGATAATATCTAATAATTATGTAATCATATAATAGGTAACTACTAATTAATACAAAACAGAAAATTACATTACATTACATCATAATTATAAAAATCCTAGTTGTATAAATTGTTACCTATCGCTGTAACTTTTAATACCTTTTTTTGTATCATTTATTAAGTTTGAAGTTATAGTTATGACTTATGAATTTCATATTCATTATATCATACGGCCCCATAATTCAAGTATGGGGTGGTAATCGCCATGTCACCCCCCCTCAAATCCACCACTGATTTTGACACGTTTTAATGCATACGAATTAGCGTTCTAATAATAATATTATTATATTTCGCATAATACTCAATAGGCCTCCTCGTACTATTTGAAGGATTACATTTCAAATATTATAAATCTCCAGAAGATAAAAAACTGCAGTGTATCGTATACCTAAATAATATGTATTATACATCGTGTGTGTTGTATTTGATTTGTTCGCGTACCGTCAAAGCACGTTTCGACCATTATGAATGGGCTTCAAAAAACATAACCCTAAATAAAAAAAAGCATAAGCATTTCATGCAAATAAAAGGTACCCTATCCATGTACGACTGCGGCAGTTATCTAGATCAAGCTTGTATTTTTGCTCTTTGACAGTGAGAAATATTTTTAAAAACGTCTTTACGTTATTACCATACATATAATATATTATATATACTATATACAGTGGTGTATTGGTAAATAAATTTATGGGTATACGCACCTAAAAGTAGTTGAATATAGTATATACCTATATATACGATATACCTACCTTAAAAATTTTCTCGCTCCGCTCAAAAAATGATTACACTTTGTATTTAATAATCTTTTATAACTTTATTACAAACACTTACTCTTCATGTGTATATGTATATGCAGTGGCGTATATACCCCCCTATATACGCCCCCCAGTTCGCCCTATATTCACCCACAACCATAAAATTAATTCATATATACTCCACTGTGTGTAATATGTACCAAGTATCAATGTATTATTTTTTTTTTAATTAATTCAATTTCATGGTATAAGTCTAGTTTACCGGGCACTTTTTTTTTTTGAAATTTTTTTTTTAAAAGGGTTGCCAAACGGTCGCCAAACTCGAGGTCCTCTGCGCGGCATTATAGTAGTGTTGCGCGCACGCGTATAAACGTAAAATCGTTAACTTTGGGAAGCTATAACTTCCAAAATAATCATTTCCGCAATTTTATTTTTGCACCATCGTTCTTAACTCGTCAAAACAATCCTTTTAAAAAAAAAAATTTCAAAAAAATATGTGCCCGGTAAACTAGACTTGTTCCCAATTCATATATGATATATAACATAAATAATACAACTTTTTATTATCAAATTTTAAAACAATTGTACAGTAAAATACTTATATAGTAGAAGTAGCGGTACGTTTATTATCCATTATCGATCATATAATATTATAATATATTTATATACAAATATTTATATATACTTTATTTGTATAAAATATTTTACAAATTTAAAAGAATTTCAAAATTAATAGAATTAATATAATGAGAAACTAATAGTTCGATTTTATAATTTGGTTATTGGATGACAAGTAATAACACAATACATCAACAATAATTATTTTATTATTATTCTAATTTGTCATTATCATTTAGTTTGAAATGAAATTACGTATGTTTATTCACAGTTTGGGAACCGCTGTACATTGATTGTTCATTGATTGATTATATTGCTCGGCAGTTTCCGATCGTCTTCGCAAGAAAACGTCGGGTAAAATTTAATCGAACTTCATGCGGGTACGGGGCTATTTTTAGTATTTTTGGACAGTGCACTTTATGTTATAATAAAATATTATAACTAAATATAATTTAGGTTATTATTATTATTATTTTTAAGTTTTTACTTTTGTTTGGTGATAATATGCCTAAATTGTCTGATGATAAATTAGAAGCGTGCGTATACCCATAAAAGACTAATTTTCTTAAAGGTATACGCATAAATCCAAAAATAGGGATCCGGGTATACGCCGTATACCCGCGTATACCCTCCAATACACCACTGACTATATATGTATACGTAAGTGCATATAAAGAATGTATTTTTTGAACACCTAAAACGAGCCGCGGGCGGTCTATTTATTTAAATGCAATACAATACGACTGTACGACTGTTTTATTATAAGGAAATCGCTAAGGGTGGTTGTACACACTATACAGTTTATCTAAAATAACAAGTTGAACGGATAAACGCAGACTGCGTACAGTTTAGGTGTGTGTTATTTTTTCAGATATTTTATGAAAACGAAATCTCAACGGTGAAACAAAGTGTGAATGAGATAATATTATGTAAATGTTGACGGTAAAAAATGTTTTCAATTTTAATTTTTAAGCTATATTGTTTATTTTAGTGAACATTTCATACTTTCGTTATATTTTTGTAAGCTGTCATGTTTGTTTATTTACTAAAATACCTCGTTAAATCTTTTTAAATTATTGTAAAATACCTACACCATCGTAACAACAACAATAACAAAAAACTATATCAAAATTTTTATTTTATTTTATTATTTTATCACATCAAATATTTATAAAACATTTTTAACAAACATTAATAATCATTCCCAACGCAATAGTATATATATATATTTTTTTTCATGGATTATTGTAATATTTATCTAATTACCATAAATAAATCGTATTCAATTACGCTGTACAGTATTATATTAGAAAATTATGGAAATTTAGAATATTATTACAATACAAGTAGCTATGTTATTAAAATGGAGATTAGGTTGGTTGCTTTACTTAAACTAAAATATTAGGCGGAATATTGGAGATTGTAAAAAAAGTAATGATTTTCGTCTGACTTCTATAAAGCAACTATATATACTATTTAATGATATCTTATGATGTTATGTGAATTACATTTTTATTTTTTAACGAAATCAGTTTCATTCAAACGCAATAATATTATGTTAATACTATTAAGTATTAACTGAGGGTATAGAACTATCTCAATTAAAAGAAAAACTGTCATTATAAAATTAAAAGCTATAAAATATAAATTATTATTACAACGATATTTTTTTATAGATCACCGGTGCTGCTCGGGGAATAGGACGTGAACTTGCCACTAGGTTTGGTAAATTGGGTGCAAAAGTTGCTTGCGTGGATATCGATGAATTGGGAAACGAAGAAACTGCTCAAATAATAAAAGATTGTGGGGGCGTGGCCACTAGTTACAAATGTGACGTTTCGAAAAAGGATCAGATCAAAGTTCTGCACTCGACGGTAAGAGCCGATTTGGGTCCAGTTGATATAATCATCAACAATGCTGGAATTGTGTGGGGAAATTTATACATCGATCCAGAAAAGGATCAGTTCATCACGGACCAGGTCAATGTCAACCTAATGGCTCATATTTGGGTGAGTGTTGTATACTTGTTGGACGTTTTTAGCTATTCTTTGATTATAATACTTACTAGTTGTAGGTACCTATATATATTATGAGTGAAGGCTTTTGATGTTTAACGTAAAGTTAAAATAACTATTAAAAATCCCAAACAAGCGTCGTTTTTTTAAATGTATTTCTTAAACCTTAAAAGCAGAAAAAAAATATACTATTTTTTCAATGGATTTTTTTTTTTAATAATACGTCAATAAAAAGTTAGGTCTTCTGACTTTTCAATCGAAAATCATCATTGAAAAATACACTTAAATTAATTAATTTATCAATGTTTTTTTTTTTTTTTTGCTGGTTTTTACTTAAAAAAATATTTTAAAGATCAATCTTGTAATACTAAATGAGAAAATACTATAAACAGCAATTTATAATTTGAAAGCGAAAAATTCGTGAGACTTATGCAATCAACAATTAGAGAAAAATTATGAGTGTGTGTGTGTGACCATCAGCTGGTTGGCCATGCAGGCAAGGCACTCGCTGAACATAAACTAAAATACAAATGTTGTTATCGTGTCTTTAATCATTTATAGATTTAAGAACGTCGATTGGCGAATGTTGCCGAATTATCTAATACTCGTTCGACACTATCTGGCCATGGGTTACCAATATGGCTTTTATTACGATAGTAAAATCTTGTACAGTTATATTTCTATATATTATTACGTTCGATTTCTAGCTAAACATTTGATATTTTATTAAAAAAGTTATTTATCATGTTGGTAGATTAAAATGTTCGTTTATGCAATTACATTTAAATACTTTAAAATAAAATAATACAGAAATCTATTCGTGAATAATGCAATAATAATAAATATTGTTGTTATTATTTCTACAAAGATGAACAGGGAAATTCTTCCATCGATGCTGGAGAGAAACCATGGACAAATCGTAGCCATGTCTTCGATGTCTTCGATGTCCGGTATAGCTAATATTTCCACGTACACGGCTACCAAATGGGGTTTGAACGGTAAGTATTATAAGAATTATTAGTTTCATCGTGTAATTTGAATGATTTTAAAATTACCAAAAACCTTTGTACCCACTACCCGTCGGCTCTTAAAATAATAATATATTAATATTTAAATCTTTTTTTTTACTTTGTAATTTTACGATACAATGCTGGTAATATCGTTGAAAAAATTAAGAAATTTAAAAATAGTAGGAAACGATTTTATTTATATTTCTAAGTTGATTTTGACCAGCCGATCATATTATTTTATCCCCAATATTATAAAAAAAAAATATATATATATATAAGTACTCTTTATTTGTTTTAAAATGCATCCATTCTGTTTTTATTTATGTTAAAATAATTGTTTTAAATTGTTTACCACTGGGTTATCTGCCCACAGTTTTTATTCGTTTATACTTTTTTGTTTTTATGAACAAATATAAAATATAATTTACGTTTGCACTCGATGTTCGCAGGTATGATGGAATGTTTGCACAACGAGTTGAAACAGTTCAACACTGACGTAAAGACCACGAATATATTGCCTTATTTTGTGGAAACTAACCCTAAAGTTTCGTCGACGTTAGATCTCAGGTATGAAACATAAAATAATCTACGAATAATTTACTATATTATTATATTTCAATTCACATCACATAATATTAAAATAATATTATATTGCTTATTAATGATCGACGGACGTTTGTTTAGACTACCCGAAATACCGACAAGCGTAGCCGGTAGTGAAATGATGAAAGGGATATTGGAAGAGCGGAGGATATTCTCTGTTCCTGGCCACATGCTGACAATGGTGCCGATCATTAGGTAAGAGAAAAACTTAATTTCAGCTCTAAACGCGTTCTTCTACAACGTTCTGAGACGTATTTTAAGAGAGAAAAAAACAAACACCAACACCTAATAATGTATTGTTACCTATAATATGTTATTTTCTTACAGGCTGTTGCCGGACAACTTGCAAACCCTCTTCAACAATATATTTCACGTCAGAATCCAAAGAGAACCTTCGGGCGAATTAATTTTAAATAAGTATAAGCGATAAATCAAACTAGTGTAATATGAAGTTCCAGGCTTTGAAACCGATATTGGATACCGATTTCGAATATCGGTTGACCCGACCGGTTAACTGAAAACGAATTCGAAAAAAATCAATACCGATATCCAAAACCAAAATCAAAATCGGAAAAACTTAATACCGATATCCGAAATCGAAATCGAAATATAATAATACCAATATCCAAAACCGAAATCGGAAAAAAATATTTTCGATTTCAACCCCTGGTTTAAACTGACTCGTTCTTAAATTAATAATTTATTTTTAAATTTCCGTAAATTATTGTTGTTATAATATGCAATACAGTTTATAAAAAATGTATAATTTTTAGATTTGACGTTATTCTTTAAAAACGATTTAATAATTTATTTGTGCATTTTGGATTACGAGCTGACCAATAAATGTACGATGTCGTATATTTGGTTTTATTATTGTTTTTTTGTTTTATTTTAAGCTCTAATTTCACTTAATCTATTTGTTTTTGTTAGGAATAGTATACGTATGTTTGTATTAAAACTTTTTTCTTTTGAAAAATTTTACTTGATTGTATTTTGAACAGGTGATTTTTTTCCATTTTTAATCCAATTTATCCAAGCTCAGATTATAAAAAAAAAAAATCATAATACGAAAATAACAATAACAATTAAGTATTAAGGCGTTCTGCAAAGCAAAATAGAAACGGTGTTTAAATTAAAATATTTTTTATGATGTATGTGTCTGAAGTATTTACACGTAATAGCTACAATATGTGGATTATTTATTTTTCATAATTACTTAGGTACTCTAACTGCTAACATTTGTGTCTAGAAACCTTATTTATAAGAATCTATGTACCTATGTATATGTTTATTTTAAGCGTCTCAAAGACTAGACATTCACACCAAATTATATTATGTATGTGCCACATTGTGTGTTGCCACATATTTTAAATAAATTTAAACTTTTCATTTTGTATACAACAGAAATTAAAGACAATATGCCATGTCATGCTTTAGTACCGCATGCGTTTGTGCGTATAAGTATACATATTATTACATAGTTATAATGACAATAAGTGTGGATCTTTCGTATGACAGACTTATCTACTGAAAACGTACCTATATTATTACTGTAAACGAACAAGTGTTATTTTCAACTAAAAGTGTATAGTTTTAGTTAATTACAGATCAATATTTTTGTAGTTCATTATTTGATATTATTTCGTATACGTACCTATTTAAAATCCCTGTATTTAAATTATCAAACAAGTTAAAAAAAAAAAAAACTTTTCTGAATTCTAACCATAATTTAAAAAAAAAATTAATATTTAGAGAGACTATAATTATATTATTTACTTATTCACTATAATTATATCATATATATCTTTCATTTCAGTTATAATTATATTCACGATTTACAATCCGAGGCTTTTGCTCATTTGCTCAATATTATGTTGTGGAGTACCTACTTAAATAAAATGTGATTTCAGCACCGACAAAGTCAACATGGCCATACTTAACTTAAGTTTAATAACAAAAGATCCACTTAGTATTTACAAAATCCATAGTATAAATTATTGCATGTATATTTTTTAATGGCTTAAAGTAATATTATGTAAAACAATATTGTTGGCCTCAACCACGAGATTATTCATCGGGTATTCATTATTAAAACAATAAATTATAGTTGATAAATTCTAGTCTTATCAAAATCAGTACCTACATTTATTTATCACATCAAATTCTATAGAAATACATATATATGTAATTGCAATCAAAAATATTATTTTATAAGCTGAAAATCCAAAAAGAATAAAAGATCTGGTGCTCAACTCTGTTATGACTAGACTCGGATTTGAATCCATTTAATAATATCGAAAAATTCTTTCCAAAATGTATTTATGACCAAAAAGCTGTAAAAAATGTCGTAAATAAATTCCACAAAATTCTTCAGAAATCAATTTAAATTTGTGAATTATTTTTTTTAAAAACCAGATTACCTTAATATGTTGTTTTAATACAATATGTGTATTTATATACATTTTTTTCGTAATATTAATAGTAATAGTTTAAAAATGACCTAAAAAAAATCAACAATAACTTTAAAAATGCACTTAAACGTCAACAATTTAAAAAATGTACAAAAAAATTTTAGCGTTATGTGTACTTGAAATACATTTTGTCTTGGAAAATATCGGGTCAAGCTCAAGTATTCCCGAAAAAAAATGAGAATGCATCAAAATCTGAGGTCTAGCTATAATTCATAGACAAGAAGACAAGAAAGCAAAAAAAATAAAATTCAGCTAACTGTAATCACATAACAATATATTATTATAATACGATGTGATTTAATACAATTATGAATATCGCTTCCGGATATCAATCGGTATATAATTGCTATTTTAAATACAATTATAATATTGTAATGGTTATCATGACTGTGGTTCAGACTTCAGTTTTGTTTGGTGCTGAGATAAAACAACATAAGTTATTGTAATTTATTAGAAGATAGCCCAACAGAAAGTGACAATATTATTTCAACCACCGTTTGTATTTAACTTTTTTTTTAAATCAAACAACAGACTTTTAAAAATATATTTCAAAACATTAGTCTGTAGTCGATTAGTTACAACTTATATATTTTATATAATACTTGCTTATACCTACAGTAAAATCGATGTATCGTTTAAAATAAGGACGAGTTAGAATTTTAGAATTTAGAGTTTCTTAATATATCGTAATTTATAAGTGTTTCTAAAATCTGTTTCTATATATCAAGCATCAGCTTCTGTCAGATAAAAATGTTTCCCACACTGTTAACGTTTTAATCATTTTCATTGCGATTCTTATAACATGATTAAACCGAACATTTCACTTGCACCCTCTCTAATGGCCATGACCACAAGTTCGGTGTTTCCCATATTATTATTAAAGTTTCCGTTGTTATTCTCTGTCGTACATGCTTGATCTGACCAACACAGTTTCGTTCCAATATTTAGTTTCTCAATGCGTTATTTTCATGCCCTTATAAAAGTAGGTACTCAGGAATTGTCTAATATTATGTATTTTGTTTAGGTATCTAATAGTTAAAAGACGTTTTAATATATTATATTATTATTATTTCTACTGAAATCAATGACTATAATATGATAACTGTTCGAATAAATATATTAATTGTGATTGTTCAAATAATAAAATATTATTAGGTCTAGTGAACCATATAAAGTGATTTCTAATAACACTGTGTTGATCTTGTTTGACGACCAGACATTTTATTGTTCTTGGTAATATGTCAAGACACCTTGAAACCAGACAACATTCAATAGTTACGGCAGTCCATCTCTATGAGACGTATTCAATAAATTAACGATGTCGTGGATGCAGTCCGTTTTATCCCATTTCATTGTCAACGACCTCCTTCTTCATAAAAATAATCGATTTGCCCATCAGTCTCCCTGAACTCATTTCTCATTAGAGCGTGTCAAACAATATCCTTTTATAAGTTTATATTTTGTTTTGACAAGAAACTAATGGTTTTATTTTATTTTCTTAAGTTAAATATTGGATATCGCAAATAACTTCCTCTTTTTTTTGTGCTGTATTTATTTATTTGTTTCGAATCCCGTTATCTCTTAATTTTGGGGGGAAGTCGGTGAACACTGACAGCGACCCTACATACTCATTATTTTAAAATTATTTAAGAGTTTGTACCGTCACAATAGCGAGAAGATCGGTTAGCCCCCACAGTATGTCACAATATTATTTATTATTAATGAATTACTACACCTCAATAAAAAGTATCAAATATTGTTATTTTTTAATCATAAAACGTAAGTAATTTTAGACATTGACACTAACGATTGTTTGGACACTGATAAATTAATAATAACTATATTGTATTCTCGAAAAGGTTAGAATAAATAGAAATCAATTCAGTGTTTTCTAGCCAACTATACACTTTAATCAGTTTATGGAGTGAACGACATTTTAGTTCATAAAAAAAATTGATACTCACTTAATAATAGTCCATTTAAAAGCTATGTAATTGATCCGTACAATTGAGCAACGGTTGAAACATTTTCACAAACTTACTATAAATTGTCATATTATTATAATTATGATTTCATAATATTGTTATGAATGCTGCTTCTAATAATATAAAATATATAAATTTTAGTGGTTTCATAACTACGTTTTATACCTACTCAAATCGTAAATCGTTTCCAACTATTATATTTAACATTAAAATAATACATCTATAGGTAGGTTAGGTTAGGTTACATTATATAAATATGATATATTTAATGACTGTTTATTTGCCTGCATATATTACACTAAATCAATATTATGCAAATAATTTGATAAAAACATGATTCAAATATTTTTCCCCAAAATGTTGGGAAATAATTGTAATCATATAATTTATAAATTATAATCTTAGTTGGTTTTTGTTTTTTTAAGTTCTTGAATTTAGTGTGTTTACACAAAACCTAAACAAAAAAAAAATTGTATTATTGATTATCAAAAAAACTTTAGATATGATTTTTACTTCCTGTTATAATTTGTTCCACACCAGATTTTTATTTATTTTATTTCAAAAGTTTATGTCCAATTCAGTTACTAAAAATATATAGTATTATGTCAATGTCATAATCATAATTTTTGTGATTATCAATATCGCAATTCAGTTCACAATTTTTAATTTTCTGTCTCTAAATCTTCTAGTACAATCAATATATTTTATTATAAACTATAATATTAATTTAGTGTTATACTATGTAACGTATTGTTATACAATGATAGGTAAGACGTGATTCAGCATGAAAAAATTTCATTGAAAACTAAAAGAAAATTTAAACTTAGCCTAAAATTTATTTTAAATAATAACTTTATTTACATAGGTCGCATTAATTGCGTATACCATTTATATAGGAAATGTGTGTTTCACTTATTTTACACCAGTAGATAGGTTTGTTAAATGTATGAGAGGAATATTCTTGTTTAGGAATATCTTTGTTTCTACTTTGCTTTTATAATGACAACATCTATTGTCTGTTGTATACATCCAATACTATTTTAATATTTCAAAATGGAAAATTTCAAAAATAAAAAAACTATCACCACCAAAAGCTATTTGACTCCACGAAATCCTGTACACATTTTTTTGTCGTTATTTGTATTCATTTACTTTGTTACCAAATTATATATGGGCTGGTATTAAATATTTGATGAAAACCAGAAAAGATGTTCGTGGACAAGTCGTTTTGGTAAGCACTATTATTATTATTATTATTATGTTTATTTAAATCTGGATCATTTTGCCTCTCAAAATAACAACTAGAAAAATTGAAGAAGTTTAAAATTAAATATCTAAATAGTCATTAGTTTATATTAGAAAAAATTATGATTGGTAGTGACGTCTGTTATATTATGTACCAAATATCCAGTGGAGGTGTTAAAATATGTTCCTAATAATATAATAAACTGTTTTATCGTTCTGTTATGTACCATCATAAAAATGAAAAGTAAATTTTAATCGTATTTATAAACATTTAACACATCGTTTATTTGCTGTAAAAATAACTTACAAAATTTAATTTAATCTGTAAGTAAAAAAAAAATTAATGCCAATTAACAGAATCGGTCATATAATTATCACAATCTTCAAAAGTTTCGTTAAAACAATAATTATCTTAGTATTCAAAATGTTCATTCATTTCATCAAAATTCTAAATATTTTCTTTCAGATAACTGGTTCTGCTAGAGGCCTTGGTCGTGAACTTTGTTTGGCTTTTCATAGACTCGGTGCATCAATCGTATGCGTGGACATTGACGAAGAGGGCAACGAAATGACGGCCGAAATGATCCGTGGACAGGGTGGAACTGTAAGAGCTTTCACTTTGGATATTACCAATAGAGAAAAAATCGCATCGATGCATGAAGCGGTGAAAAGGGACTTGGGCCCTGTAGATATATTGGTGAACAACGCAGCTGTAGTAAAGCCAAATATTTACGTCAATTCCGAAACCGACGAACTAGTCCGAAAAATAATTGACGTCAACATACTGGGACAGTTTTGGGTTTGTTAAGCAACAACTGAATTTGGGAATCTAACGTTAATCGGATTCTAATTAAATATGCACTCATCATTTGTTTTTAATATATTTGATTGTATTCATAATACCTTATTCGTTTAGATGAATAAAGAAATACTCCCATCGATGTTGAACAGAAATAGTGGACACATTGTATCAATTTCATCATTAATATCAATGGTAGGAACTCATTCGCTATCCGCTTATACTGCTTCGAAGTGGGGCGTTACAGGTGAATTATTTTTTTATAAATTTAAGTATGATTTGACTATATTATATGTTATATATGTCTTTTTATAAATCACGATACTTTTACAAAAAACTTGCGGAACAGTAAAAAATTGACCAACTGCAATGATATATTTAGTGTTTGAAAATTTCATGAAATTTAAAAAAATGAAATATTTCGTGAAATATTTCATGAAATATTTCAGTATTTTAATATATTTTGTTTTATTTTTAAATAAGTTTTATATTAACATATAATTGTCATAAATTATCTCATCACTATATGGTACCTGCATGTATACCTAACCTTTGGTATTATACATTTAAATTGGTATTCAAAATTTTTAAATATTTTAATGTTTAAATGATACAAGTAGGTATACAATATTATACATGTATATTGTATACTTACTGAATTCTGACATTAGAATTTAGAACACTGAACATTGTGTTAAAAAAAATTTCAATGTTTCACGTTTTTGTGAAATATTTCACAACTTAGTGAAATATTTCATTTGAAATATTTCATGAAATATTTCTCATACTTCAAACACTAGATATATTATATTCTGAATATGTTTTTAAGATAATTTCAGAGCACTATTTGTTTTCTCTCTTAATCACGCACAACACAGACTAACTTGTTCATACAAAAATAGTTTTTTTTTTATGATGTATAAGTAATCTTAGAGCAAAATCACCTGCTTCAAAAATGTTGGAGAATAATATTTTTGAGGGTCTGACACATCGGTTTTGTATTTTTTTTAATATTTGACTTAATATTCAATTTTTTTTTTTCGAAATTTAAATGTATATTCAAATATTTTTAGACAATATTTGGATAGATTGATTTTTTATGAATAAGTTTTGTCTATGTGTCTCATAGAGGGTAGTTCCCTGCCATGTTTTTCATATTGATTAAACAATACAACCAATAACAGTTTATTGCAAACACAAAAGTTAAAGTGTAAAAGTCCATTATAATAGTTATTTTGTAGTTAGTAAAGTTATCCTAAACTAACCTTTACAGTAAATATTTATTGTTTTGGAAAGTATTCAAGGGGGTTCACGCTACATCATGTCGTGTCATGTCGTGTCGTGAAAAATAATTTTCTCTGATTGTCTGAATTACGTGATTAAATTAAGGTATACCAATACCACAATAATATGGTAACTATATATTGTTATTTTATCACACCATACCACAATAACCAAACGATACCGCATAATTGAATATATTCAACTTTTGGCCCTTTGTGGCTTCAGAAAATATCTGCAGAAAAATTATAACTAAAAAAAAATGATAAAATGTTATCATCAAGTAGAATATTGATATCATTGGTATATAGATAAAAATACGAACAGCACGCAGGCACACAATAATTAAAAACACGACACTAAACGACACGGTGTAAGTGTAAACCCCTCTTTAGTGTTTTTTTAAATATTTTATCGCCATAAATGTTCAAGTTATTTTACATTTTGAACGACAGAATATATTTTAATTGACAACATTTTCTAGGTACCAATGGTGCCAGGTGTCGCTAAACTCAACTTGCCTAGAACTTAAATGCTAATAACCAATTAATTACCTACTTGTTCACTAATTACAAATTAAAGTGTTGTACATCGAAATTATTAGAAAAATACTTTAATTTCAGATTATGAAATTAAAAATGTATGCTGTCATTCAAAGAGTAAAAACTTAAAAATTACAACAGTGGAAATACAATTTTTTCCAACAATTTTGTTTTGTCATGACTTGAAATTATGTGAAAAATATATATTTTTAAAAATGTTAATTATTTTCTTAGTTATGATTTACTTAGTGTTTACTGTTTATTGTTGAAAAGAATACCTACCACATATATGTTGTTCGTATACAACATTTTTGTATTCAATGCTTATTGTACATACAGGACTTAAATGCTTTTAATATTTTGCTTTTCATAAAATGTATTCATAAAAATTATTTAAACCTGAAATTTAATTTTTACTTTTAACAATAATTGGTTGAAGGTATGATGGAAGCTTTAGACCAAGAACTAAATATGCTAAATTCAAAAGTTGTCTTAACTACTGTGTGTCCATACTTCATGGATTCAAATGAAGACATTACAAGAAATATTAGTATCAGGTTTATACACAATAAAATATTATATATTATACAATTTTACTTATGGCCATCTTGAATACCTTTATTTATATATATTTGTACATATATACTAATAAAGTTTGATATAAATTGATTAGCTTAAACCACTGACGTCGCATATAATATTAAAATTTACAATTTATGTTGGTATCCAACAATAATATTAAAATATCAATGCAAAACTTTGAATGAAATTTTATTTTATTTGACTTAAGACCCATGCATTACTGTCAATACTTAAACATTAAAATCATTTGACTTACATCCCTATCTACATCTTCATCGTATTCGTAGATGATTTATATTTGGTTCATACAGATATCCTGTTATTAAAATGGCTGCATAAAATATATTACTTTTATTTTAATTATTTCAAATAATGTATATGTTTTTTCTTAAGCTTTCCAGTTATTCCTCTTAACGTAATATGTAATAGCACAGTGGATGGCATATTGAAAAACAAAAAAATGTTTACAATACCTGGATTTTTGTTTCTAGCAATGATGTTTTACAAGTAATAATATTATAACAATTGAATTCATTTTTTTTAAATTAAAATGATTTTAACTTTAAGACACCAACTTCATTATTTGATCTATGACAAAGATAAAAAAATATATTAATAACCACAATGTACCTATTAATATTTATGTTATTTACTTCAGAATATTACCGAGCAAGTTACAATATCAGATGCAAAAACTATTAGGAGCTTCGTATAACTATTGTAAAAGTGACTACGATACATTGAAGAAATATCAGAGAGGAACTACGTCTTTGTAATATTTACATCATTGTAATATTATAATATAAATATATTATCATAGTAATAATTACTATAAGATATTACAGCATTGATTTTAATGGCGAGCACTCTTTTTTTTATTGAAACTATGTACATTTTGAAATTATTAAAGTTGAATGTAATATTATATCATAATATCTAGGTACCTATGTTTTTTTTGAAGTGTAATGTTACAGTTTAAATTTTTTTACTACCTACATTATAATAGTATTAATATGTCAGAGATTATATTTTATGCAGTTCTTTTTGGAAGTAATTGTGAAGTTAAAATAAAGTGTGTACTACTGAAATAAATTAAATTGGTATTTTGAACTGGTGTTGGCAAAATTGTTTTATTTTATATTCTTCTCTACACTTATTTAATTAATTAATATTATTATTAATACCTATTAATTATTATGTTTATGATTATGTGTAGTTATTTTTATTACATTCCTTGAGAATAAGAAGGATAAAAGAAATTTTTTACCATGCTGTATTTCACATTGATCGACTTTAATTACTTCAATGAAAAAAAATTATATTGTATACCACAATCATTAAAATATAATGCATGTTAATTTTAAGTTAGGCGTAGCGTCATATCAAATCGTGGATCACATTTTAATAGTTTAGTTTTAGGACTTATAAATAAAATCGATGGAGATCGAAATACTGTAATAACAATATATATATCTTTAGTGTATAAAATATATTTTATTATACTACCCAAAAGCTCAATGAATGGTGGAAATTAAAATAAAATAGAATTGACTATGGCTAAAGTCGTTTTTCCCCCCTATAATTTTTTTCGAACGAGCTTCTATTTCAATAATTAATTACCTACTTAAAGTTTTAAGGTTTTATTTAAGTTCATACATAATAATATATATGTACATTTTCCTCCGACTTGTGACTGTAAATAATTTATTAAAATAAGATTGACACCAAAGAGTTCCATTGTTCAAGTATTTTTAAAGAAAGATTAATTTTATGAAGGTATCACATCAAATATTAACATTCTTAATGGTAAAGTTTAATAACTTTGCTTCTCAGTTGTAAATAAGTTATATAGTTTATGAAAAACTGATAAATTGCATTGACATAACCGATTACAATTTATCAAAGTTTAAATTATAATCTAGATTAGATAAACGGTGATTTAATTGACAGTTGATAAAACAAACAAATTTTTCATAATATTACTGTATCATAATATTATATATTTAATGGAAAATTAAAAAAATCCCGAATCTAAAATATTTTACAGTTTCAAAAACTGTAATATCATTGGCTGTAAATTGTAATATCATACCTATAACTGGTAACCCAATACAATGTTTTTATTTAGTAATATTTTTAAACTGTTGAAAAATAACACATTACTTAGGTCCACCAAAAGATAAATATACATTTTGTTGATGCAAATCATTGAGAACTTGCACTAGTTACTATACCTTATTTATTTAAATAGTATAAACTATGGTAATACTTTTGGTATTATATGTTATTCTGTACAGTTTAAAAATTAAACAATAATATTGTTGCATAATTTTTATTAAATATAATACCTACCTTTAAAAATACCTGCGTATTTTTATCATCACTATGAGGAACAAAAGTTCACCACGATATAAGTATATAACGTTCTTAAAATTAAGTCTAATTAAGAATGTACCGGGTAGTTCAGTTGACAGTACCTCCACGTCTCTTTGTTTTTTACTATTGGTTTAAACTTATTCTTAATTATTTTTCTAAAACAAGATAATGCACTATAATTATTATGAATATATATATTTCAACGGTTTTTATTAAAAATTTAAAAAAGTTTTGATAATTTATAATATAGGCATTGTCTTGATTTGACACTTTCTCAATTCTAAACTAAACCGGTACCTTTTCAAGTTCACATTACCTACCCTAACTATTGATTTTACATTTAAAATTATTATATTATTATATCATTTATGTTAGAAGCGCTTCTAGAAACAATTGTATAGACAATCATGTGTAAATTAAATTCATTTATATTGCATATTATACATAATTTCTTAAGAATATAAATATTTTTCAAAATTATAAAATTAAAAGTTAAATAAAACCAGTAAACTAGCATTTATCTAAAGTAAAGTATGCGTCGAGTGTATTTTGTCATTGAATAGGTCAATGTAATAAATGTGTTAAATATGTATTAAATGAAAAAAATAATTTTACGAAAAATCGATTTGGGGATGGTGTCTCAGCTATATTTCTTACAATATTTTATAATTTGTTTATAATATTACTGTGGCTTTATGCTCAACAATTTAATGAATGAAAACTAGAACTCAAAACGCTTGTATGCAAATTATTGACTGTATTTTCAATATTTTTTAAATTTTGTAAGAAAAACATATGATAAGTCTTTTATTACATACTACTTTCCATGCTGATTAACTTAGAAAAAAATGTTTTCAACATAAATTTAAACCATTTAAGAAGTCTAAAATTGTAATGTCTATAAATAGTCCATAAAGAGTAAAAATATTTTGAAAATTATATCGTATCTACTATCTAGAAAATATTAATAAAAATAGATAATTTGGTGGAAATTTCAAATACATTTATAACGTAAATATTTCTGGTTTACATATTTTTTTTTTTTTTGAAAATGTTCTTTTTTTACCTCTCAAAGTATTAACTAAAACTACTACGAACTGGGCACTTTCAAAGGTATAAATTGTATTCATAAGTATTTTTCTGACCCAGAAGTGATGACAAACACCAGAAAAAAAATATCACTTAGGTACCCACTATTTAATTTTTGTCAAATAACAATTTGATAATAATATATTCAATGATTGTTTACACGCACAAATAAGTTTTGTGAATAACTTAAGAACAAATTTAAATTACCATAATATCATACTAACGTGCAATATAATATGTATGATGAGATGTAACAATTTGGTGTCAGAATATTAATTTTGCTGTTTTTGAAAAGTTGACGTAGTTCACTGTGTTTATTCCATATACATTTTGTGTTGTGCAATTGAAATAAGTAGAAAAATACAAACTATAAAAATTAAATATTTCAATAACTTTTAATTATCATAAAAATGGAAATATTTCTGATTAAAACTTTTGAAAAAAGCACAAAACTTTAAACTTTACGTTTTAATTGCAAATTATATGTTTTTTGTCGTATATATTCATCTTTTTAACCGATCACTAACAACGTGACACAAGTGACAAAATTCAGTTTCTGTTTAGTCTCGTTATCTCAGTACTAGTATTACAGCTTGAATGTAGTGAATTTGGCTCAATTGATTTGGGATTTTAAAATAATACTGAATAAATATGGGTTTTGTTTTAACATTCTTAAGTATTTTTTTTAATGAGTACGATATACCTTCGGAACCGATAAAGTTTATTTTTGAAATGCTATTAATTGTACTGTGTGGCATTCCAAAAATTATTGGAGCAACAATTTCGTATGTTTATTTTCCACCAGAACCGAAAAATGTCGAAGGAAAATTAATTTTGGTATGTAAATATAATCAATATCTCTCATTGTAATATATAAAATATACAAACTACCAACTCTGCAAAAAATATTTGTACGTTTTAACGATTAATGATTTTTAAATCCAAACGTGAAATACATAATATTTTTAATTAATAAATTAAAGTTGATAAAAAAAACTAAGCTATAGTTTATTTTGGTATGTACACTTCGTTCCATAAATAAAATAACCAGCTAAACCAAAGTGTGTATTATATTGTGTAATTTGCAATGGTTAAATATAGATTAAGAGAAACTAAATGTTTATTTTAGAATGGTAGATTTTACATTTTAAAATAGTAATAACTGTTCACTAAAAATCGAGTCTATGTGATACTATTAAAATAGTTTTTTTATTTTATCCATAGTTTTGCTTACCGAAAGAGCCACAAACAATCGTTTAAGAAATTAAGAAGCTTGTTTGACTAAAACCAAACTGTTCTCGAATATCTTTGGATGTAATGCCACAAAATCAATAACGTAACGACCTACCTCTGCTAGGGGTTCATCCATCTCTTTAATATTTTTATATCATAAATATATTTAAAACAATAGTATGTTATTATTCTACAAATACTATTCTAGCATCATTATTGGGCCATAACAAACGAACGATCCGTTACGTCTAGTCTCTGCATTTTAACTTCAAAAAAAAAAGAAAAAACTACAATACAAGAGAAAAAGGTTTAGAGTTTCATAACGTACACTTTTTTTTTTCCTATACGAAACATGCTCAGTGGCTATTTTCATGTTATTTCATTTAGCATTGATACTATTATATAATATATCGTTAGGGATGACGTAATAATAATATCGCTAAATGTATTCAGAAATAATACTGAGTAGCAGTGCCTATCATTTACGTTCTAGATTACAGGGACCGCCCGGGGAAACGGCCGTGAACTGGCCATACAATTTCACAGGTTGGGGGCGAAAATTGCGTGCGTTGATAAAGACGAAGTGGGCAATAATGAAACGGTCGATCGGATCAAGGCGGAAGGCGGCCAAGCGGTGGGATTTAAAGTGAATATTACCGACAAGGAGCAGATAATGACGATGCACGCGGCCGTGAGAGATCAAATGGGTCCCGTAGACATTCTCGTTAACAATGCCACCGTGGTCGAGACGACATTGTTCGCCAATCCGGAAGCCGACGACACCATATCGGAAATAGTCAACACGAATTTACTGGGTCAAATTTGGGTAAGCAACCTCTATGGTTTTACTATTATTATATTACTTGGTTTTACGGATACCTCTACACAACACGAGGGTTTGTGTGCACTCGTTTAATTTTTGGTTCTCTTGACCGGCGAGTTATGAAAAAATTGTTTATTCAGAACGTTGTGAAAAGATTATTGTTTGCACGAAAAATAAAATCTTGAATGGTACACAAATATTACCTATCGTTTTGTTTACTGAACATCAAGACGTTTGGAAAGTGGAAACCCCATGCATGCTCACTCTTTAACTTGGGAACTGTTTTCATAGGTAATCAGGGAAATACTTCCATCGATGTTGGAAAGGAACAGTGGCCATATAGTAACAATATCATCGATGACGTCATTGAAAGGGTTGCCTTTACTTTTTACTTATTCTGCGACAAAATTTGCTCTAACTGGTAAGCTGCACGTGTTCTCTTCGTCTCATAAAGTTATGTATAAAACATTTAATAATTGACAGAAATTATTTCGAGTCGCTTGAAGAAATTAATTAAAATAAACGATGTGATTTACAAAAAAAAAAAATTAAAGGGAACATTATAATAAATATTTTCCAATGATTTTTAATAATGTATGAAATTAAAATGAATGCGTTTATCTATATATTGAAATTTCTTCTTTTTATTGAACTTTTAACTTATTAGTACTCATTTTTTGTGACAGGTATGATGGAAAGTTTAACTAAAGAACTTAAATTAATGAAATCAGACGTGATTACTACAACGGCTTGTCCATATTTTATAGCAAACTGTCCGGACAAATCAAAAAGACGAATATTAAGGTACCCGTATAATGATCTAGTAAGATTTTATCGATTGCGTCAAATGCATTTATAATTAATATTTTTTACTGTTTAGACTTCCAGAATTACCAATTGAAGATGCCTGCGCAATGATAATCGAAGGAATATTACGTAATGAACGAGTTTTTACGATTCCAGATTATGACTTTTACGCTCTGCCATTTATAAAGTAAATATAACCATTTTACAATATGGTGATATTCGTGTTAAATATGTGAAAAAATATTTGTTTTATAGTTTTGGAAATAGGCAAGACAAAATACACGAATGTACTAAATATTTTATTCGTAGAATATTGTAATAGAAACCTGATGTGAAAAACTGAAATGACTATGGCTATTTTGTTTTTAGTGTTTTTTTTTTACCCAAAATATGATAAAAACGTAATTCGATATAAAATGTATTGAACTATATTATATGGTTTTTAGGTTTTTACCTGAAGATTTGCAAGATATGGTTGAAGACATCGTGTATTCAAACATCGAACCAACGCCAGACGAAGAAAAAGTCATACAAAAATATACGAAATTCGCGGAGATGAATAAACCACAGGTGATTTTGAAAATTTTTGTTTTTAAAATTACGAAAACCAAGCACCGCCTATGATAAAATTCACTATATCCTTCCGCAAAATAGGGATAAAAAAAAAATTATTTTCCTTGTTTTTTTTTTTAAAACGATTACATGAAGATTAAAACTACCTGTTTGGTACTACATTTTAAGGGGAAAACTTATAAATGATGGCAATTACGAGGTTCACGTTTTTCCTTATGTACGGTCATATTTTATAAAATAAGATAGGTAGTAAACATTAAAAACTCGAAGAACGATTAAAACGATAAGTTATTTCGTCTTGCTGGTTATTTCATAATCAAAATTATAAAAGAAAAATGTGTACAAGCGTTATACGATTGCATTTCAATTGTTTTAATTACCATAATATATATTATACACCAGTATAGACATAATAATATGTTTAATATGTATTATTTATATTTTAATATTTATAATAGATAATAATATGTAGGTAATAGTAGAAATATAATTTAATTTGATTATTCGAAAGTTTAAGACATTTTTGAAAGACTATTATGCATTCAAATAAAATTTCGAATTAAAAATAATAATGCTCCTATAATAGTGTCTTGTATGATCATTTGTACATCATATTTAATATCACTGACTTTGATAATTAATTAAATTTAATTATTATAATACCGTAAAGGTTAAATTTGAAAACATTTTATGAAAATTGAATGACATTTGAATTTTTATATGAATTATATAAAAATGTAAAATGGTGAGATGAGATATATGTTTATTTCTCGAATCTCAATCCAATGGCATGCATTATTTATTACTGCTCCCAAAGGTTTTGCACTTGACTTTTTTATGTTTTCGTATATTTTTTTTATCAGCAGACAGTTCGATACAATTTCTAATTTTGTTTTGTCAGTTGTAAAAAATATCGACGGACTAAACCGTTAAATTTGGAACACAAATTTAAATATCATTTTAATACCAATGTAATAAATTTCCATGAACTATTTAAAAGTTTCATAAACAATGTCTGGATTGTTTACCATAACAGTTTAGTTAAAGTAAACCATGTAATATATTTTAGATATTTTATTGTAATCATTTATATGCAACAACAGACATCAAATTTGTATTTTTAAGCTTTATTTCTAGGTACCTATCTAGCAATTAAATATCATTGAAAATCTCAATAATTAAATCTTTATAGTTTACAATTAAAAAACATAAACTAAATAATATCTTTAAAAATTATTATTATAATTATTTATCATGCACTACAAATACTGATACACTTATAATTATATTATTTTCAGATCTCAATGTTTGCACCATGTTTAAAAATGGGTAGCGTACCAGATTAATTTGTAGAAATATATTATAATATCATTATTATTGTTTAAAAATATTATATTTTAAAGTATGTTCGAAAAAAATATTGGTAAATAATAGTTATTAGTTTAAACTTCAAACCAATTTTACATTAAAATGCGTACGAAGGGTTTATACATTTTTGTCAAAAATATTAATATTTCATTTGTACGACACTATGTATTTCAGTAAGTTCAATTGTATATCATATCTAAACTTACGATATTTTGTATGTTTAAGTTTAATTTGGAAGGCTAGATAAAATTTAAAAATCGATCAAAAGTTAAAATGATAAATAAAATACACTTATTATTAGAAAATATGTTTTTATATAAATCGGTACTTAGCATAAACTTAGTAACGCGAAAAATGTAATCAAGATATATATATTGCCTACAGCCAAGATAATATTAAAAGAAAGTTTAAAAATAAATATAATATAATGCATGTAGTAATTAGTTTTTATTTTTTATAACAATATTATAAATATCTGTTTTGTACAATATCACTCATAACCTGAAAAATAACTATTTTCATATTGATCAGCTGTGTATAAGCACTTGGATGATAAACTCACCAAGTGTATCGTTGAAGTTGGTGTTATTGTTAAATTGGAGTACTTTTTAATTTTCATGTTGAACGACACGAGTGTGAATATAATATTTTACTCATACCTATAAACAGACGTTTTAAAAATAATCACAGATGAGTGATTAAAAATATAATGAATGTAATATAGTTTGTAATACTATACTCAAAAATCAATATTAAATCAACCAACCATTATTATAAACAATATGCGTTTTACAATAATACTTACGTTAATGAAAATTAAATTAAATGAATGAGTTTAACTTATAACGGAGTACATATAATGTAACACTATTTTTTTTTAACGTAGGTGCATACGACGTTTACATGTTGACGTGGTGTGCACAAGCCACAAACACAATATTCAATGGGTTTAAGTCTGTGATAATTACGTTTTAAAAACAATAGGGTTTAGTTTTAGTGGCTTAGTCATGTCGTTTAAAAATACTTGTTACCTTCCCGAAGTCCCCACAGTATATAATGTACTATTATTATGATATATATTTTTTAATCCATAATACAGTACGTTTTAGAACAATATACCAGCAGTTGATTATACTATAATATAATATTGTCATATCAAACTATATAGGGGTTTGTCTAATAATTATTACGCCTGTGTATCTCCATTATTTATCTGTCGAAATAATGTTATATACCTAATTATTTTTGCAGAATAATGGTAATATTATATTTGAGCCAAAGAGTCATCGACGGCTGCAGCTGTATCGTAATAACTTTAGCAACACATTTAATTATTATGATTTGTATCGATACATCGTATTGTCATTATTTTTACTATAATGAGTATTCTACTGTTAAAGCAGCGTGCTATATTATTATGATAATGTTATTATCTAACATCGAACGGAAGACGGATGCCGACAACCATTATTATAACACACAAGTATCAGTTAATATTTTTAATACATCCGCTATCCGCAGACGATTGAAAGAATAACGAACCGGTGTCGAAAAAAATTACACCGTATAATATATGGGATGAAGAAGATGTTGAGTCTAGACCTATAGAGAGTACTTGTGTTATAATATTATGATTACCACGGCTGCAATGCTGCATGCAAAGCAGACACTCGGGGTTCTTTTATTATGATATATATTTTTTTAATTGGTTAAAAATTTAAAATTCTAACGATCCTTAAATGCATAATAATATTCATGTGCATATTTAATCGGGAGACATTTCGGTAGAATTATAGGTAACTACATAATATAACGGATAAAAACTATAAAATCCACCGTATTTTCAAAAGCATATAAATTATAATATTAAATTGTATACATTTATCGTGTTTTGGTATTTATTTATCTCGATCGATGATCGATCTGGTCTTGAATCATATAAGGTATACAAGTTACGACTGCATTGACAATCAATAGGCCATTTATCTTAAATGACGTGTGTGCATACAAAAACATGTTTATCTTACTCCGATTTATATCGAAATTCATTATCATCATGCTCAGAATATTGATTAGCATAATATTATTTTGTTTCGACGGACTACAGTGTGGTGCTCTAGATTTTAACTCAAATTTGTAGTTTTTCTAAGCCCCGACAGAGTAAAAAATTGTAACGCGCCCACGATTTTTCTTTTTGTTAATCGTTTGACAATTTTAATGTCGTAAACGTTTAACGTTCGTTCTGTTACGAAAAAAACTGCAGTGTACCTACATATGATAATGATGAGTATAATACATCATATTATAATTTTGTCATCCTTAAACTCTACACAACCAGTGGTGCAGGCTTAACGGGGGGCGAAGAGTACCTCCCTCACAAAAAAAGGTATGTGTAAGTACGCAATGCCTCTGATAGTCATTATATATTATAGTCGTCAAAACATTTATTATAAATCACATATTGTTTAGGTATAAAATGTAATGCGAATAGAACATAAAATTATATACTTCTCATCGTGTGCCCATCAATGAAATAAAGTGAGATTTGAACGTATAAAAATATTTTTGCAATCTCCTCCCCTTGGTATTCGTCAAGAGTCTTCCTCATGCCCGAAGACACCATGGCAAGAACAATTTACACGCGGACTGCCATCATCGCACGTCTTTGTCATCGAAATCCGTACGTACGGACGCTTGGAAATCGGAGAGAGAGAGAGAGAGAGAGAGAAAAAAGATAGTTTTTTTTCGTTCGTTCGTTCGGTAAAAATAAAAAACGATGTCTCCAAAAATTAATCAAGTATAACGTCAACATTGAACCACGGCTTATGTTATTGTATACATGGCTCATACAACAACTATATACAATAACCATTGTACACCAAGGCCTGCACTACGGACACCATTATATTATGGTGCTTATACGTTATACCTACGATAGTTGTTTGAGTGAAAAGGAGGAACAGAGTGCACAAAAGAGGGGGGGGGGAAAAAGAAGAAGAATCGGGTCCCCGCACAACGGTCCGGGGCAGCTGCGGATTCGACTCGGCCCTCGTACGGGACAGACGGAATTTTTTTCTTTTTCTGTCGGAGCGTCCCGCTCGGTGTACCCATTGTAGAGAACCGACAGCATCACCACGATGGAAAAGGGATGATGGCGAGCAAGGGGGGTGGGTTAATTTTTTTTCCCAGAACCTTTTCATACTCGCGGGTGTGTGTGCACGTGATGTAAGTGATCGTCCGAGTGTGAATAAATTCGGATTTTCGAGCAATGATCAATGGGCTCGTCGGGGTCGGTCGCCGGTGCAGCGATAGATTTAAAGAGAGGAATATTGAAGAAAAGAAGTAGAAAACCTCGAGCATATAGTGGTAGTGTGCACTACCCACACGTCGGTCGTCGGCAAAGGTACACCGTACACACACATACACATAAACACAAAATCTCACACACATTCAGTCACGTCTATATATAGGCGCGACCGACACGGATTTGGCCGTTTTCACTCTCTTTTCGGGGTGCCGGGCATTATATTTTACTATATTGTATCGTGTGTGTACCTACATACCCACATACATAATGCGAGTGTGCACAAAACATATTTTATACGTGGGGTATACTTGTACACGTATATTATACTCTCGGTGATCTCCGTGTGTACGTATATGATATTATGTGTTAGGACTCGGGAGATTAACTGAAAAGAAAAAAATACTTGAATGCGAAGAAAATCCTCTACTGCGTTACCGTACTCGTGGTATCCTGCTACCTACCACTCGGCGGCCTGTTATGGATGTTAGCCACGCGTGTTATGATAATAATATATGTTATTGCGAACCACGCGAGAGGCGACATTATAATATGTTTTCACAGCTCCTTCTCGGGGAACGTCACGGGCCAATTCGGCACGGTCGACAACACGTCGTATTTTAACGAACAAAAACGCCGACCCACCGTCGTGTGCGATTTCCACGCGACTGTTTGCGAGGATAAATATTTGGGCGAACGTAGGTACGCGTTATTTTATTATTACTATTTTTGGTTTTTTTGATGTTAAACCGCGGTGGCGGTACCGCAGCAACACTGGTAGTCGTGTGATAATAATATTATGTAAATCGACAAACTTCGCAAGCGACGACCTACGGTATGGGTACGTCTTGACTAATGTTGTGAGGCAGGCGAGCGTGTGTTCAGTGTATAATAGGTGTACATAATGTTATGAAATATAATGTCTGAAGCTTGTTTTTTTTTTACAGTTCTTGCAATTATTCCAACGATGGCGTTTAATATTATTATCGTAACACAACTACAAGTCAGGTTATAATATATATTATGAATTATTTATTATTTTTTTTTGTCAAACACCCAAATTTATTGGGCGAAACGCTATGGAAATATCTCCATATAAATATTGTAATATTATTATGTTTGTACAAACATAATCTGTTCGCACACTCGTTTTTCTTATGATTACACAGAGACAGTTACAATTTAGATTGATCTCGATTACGGATGATATTATTATTATTATGTTTATTTATGTATGTAAACGCATTCATTAGATATAATATACATTATACCTACACGCTCTCGTATTATTATATATTTTATAGCAACAATGTAAAATGCATTCGCAAATATAATAATTATAATAATTTTACTATGACAACGCAGTGTTGGTAAACAGGCACGGCGCCAAGGGGGGGCAAGGTGGGGCTCTAGCCCCCCAGAAAACAGACCAGCCCCCTCGCCAGCCCCCCCCCCCCACTGAAGAATATGTACGATATAATAATTAATGTTTGTTGTATACAGTTAAAAATATTTTTAGTTGAAATATTATTTAAAATATGTTTATGTTTGATTAACACAATACTATTGTGTAAGGAGTTGGTATTCGTACCTACCTACTTATATTAGTTTGGTAATTAGCATGACAAATTTCTTATTTAAAATAATTAAATAATGTATTCATTTTCTTATTTT